CAAGGGCTCGATCACTATGGTAACACATGCTGACCATATAACCTGGTTCAGAGTAGGTTATGTTCAGATTTGGGTCTAAAATTTGATTCAAATGCCACATTTACATTAATTTTATTTACAATACACTAAAAGTAATGTGTAGGGTTTTTTTTTTTTCTTTTTACTAGAATATTTTTTTATTTGGGGGTTCTGTCAAGCTAGCTAAGCTTTAGCTGGATTGACTTTAGCTGTATCCCCATTCATATTACTTTATGAGCCACATGCTGCCTAAACTGATCTCAGTTTGGCCAGGTCAATAAAACCACTGCACAAGATATTTTCTGCTTTCTTTAGTATGAAGAAGTATTCATAGTCAGGCCTACATCAGTAAAAAGCCATAAAAATATGTGCAGAGATTTTGCAAGTAAGCAAAAACTGTATTTAAAATTTTAAGATTCAAAAACCTTTTCTAGATCTAGAAATACTTTTAACTCTACTAGACTTTTTCACTCGTGTAGTGAGACTGGCATCTGTGCAAAAGTAATAACATATTTATTTATTGAATTTTAAACTGGAGTAGTTAGTGACTTTGTGCAATTTTCTCCCATTGAAAAACCATCCAGTGGGCTGAACTGAACTTTGGCAGGCTGGTTGTGGCCCCTGGTGGCATCGTGGGCCTACAGTAGTGGTTGGTTTTCAGACCTGAAACACGCAGGATCAGAGAGTAGTACAATCTTTTTGGTGTTTTCAGGAAAGGGTGTGTGATTTCACATGATGTCATGGTTAAATTGTTTGGGGATAGAAATAAGACTCATTGGTTGTAAAATTGCGCAATATTAACATTTTATTGCTCAGAATTGCCCTCAGGCAGCCCCATGTCCAGTAAACGTTTCATGAATGAGGGCGTGGAAGTCACTGCCAGGCGACAGTTTCAAGAGCACACGATGGAAAACGGAAGCAAGATTATTAGCTTTAGAAATCTTGTGTATAAAGGTGTGAAGAAGTTTTTCATTATGACAGCGATAAGTGGTTTGGACAAAAGGTTTTGAGCACGAAGTGAAAAAAAGGGACTTTAAAGATGACTTCTTTGGTTATTGAAACTGTACAACTCTACATCTGCGTGATAGTCAAATGATATCTTGATAGGTAGTCCTCAATCTAAATCACTATGCAGATATATTTCAAGTCTTTTTCTTCTTCTTACAGCTGTTTCCTTTAGAGTCACCAAAGCAGGTATTGTCAGTTCTGCGAACAAACACAGGATCAAAATATCATCTAGTTGTACTGTGTGCAACTAGAAAGAATGAATAATAAAATAAAATAGAAAGCTGTAACAATATGACATAAAATACAGTGGGATGCAAAAGTTTGGGCACCCTTGTTAATAGTCATTATTTTCCTGTATAAATCTTTGGTTGTTACGATAAAAAGATGTCAAAAAGTTAAATATATCATATAGGAGACACGCACAGTGATATTTGAGAAGTGAAATTAAGTTTATTGGATTTACAGAAAGTGTGCAATAATTGTTTAAACAAAATCAGGCAGGTGCATAAATTTGGGCAC